CCCCAAAACCCCAAAACCCCAAAACCCCAGATCAATCGTAAGATTTGAATCAAAACTCGGTGAATAGCTTTACTAAATAGTAGGATTTATTAATCAAATTTAACACTCTTGTGCTTAAGGAAATAATCAATTCTTTCAAGCATATCCTGAGCACTATAATCAAAGTTGAGTGCTCCTTCTTCACCTCTTAATGCGACTGAATACAAGTCATATGCTCTAGCTCCTTGCAATTCATTTGAAAAAGTTCCAATGTACTTTTTAATTTGCCCAATATTAATGAGGGCTTGCCAATTAGAGTTGTTTTTAGATACTCCAATATACTTCGACCTTCTCTTAAGACTCTTTCTATTTGCACTCTTAGCTTTCTTATAGGAAGAATTAAACTCAGCCACACGATTACTAAGGATTCTTGACCTCAAAGTCGTAAGTTTTTTCCTGATATTAAGCTCCTTAGTCTTGCGCTTGCGTTTCTTTGGCATTTGTGCTCCACTTTTGTATTCCTCACTGTCTTCTGAAAAAGTTTCTTTCTCATACAAACTAGTATGAGACTTCTTTTGGTTAACACATTTGAAGACAGATGCTTTAGAGTTCCAACTGAAATCATTACTTTTAGCTAGCTCATGGTCATTTCTAAGGAAGATTTTAGTATTATGATCGAGGAGATGTGCAATTCATGCAAGAGAAGACTTAATGAATCTTACTGTTTATCCCTGTTATCTTCTACAGGTGCAACCTCATTCAGACTACTTAGAGAGGAGCAAAATCAATAGCTTTGGCTTGATAATGCTTCTTCATCAATACTATCCATTCAGTACATGGAGCTGAGCTCATGAAGTAACCCAGAATATCCCCACATTGGGATAGAGGCTGAGTTTGTGCTGTTTGCAAAGTTGGAGAAAATCATTTTTATTATTAAATATAAATTCGAATTTTTTAAATAGTTTCCCTTCCCTTAATCAAGAATTCTCGGTATTCCCTGATGGTTCTAAAAACCTTCATAAGCCTGGTAATCCGAATCTTCAAAAGCTTAAATTAGATTATCATAATATAGAAGTCCTCGGGATTGCTATGGTTCTCTTTAAGGCTAGTTTCTCATACATTTTCTTTAGGCAATGATATACAGTTGAAGTATTCTGAAATTTCAATAATTTTTAGATTATCTTTTCTTCAGAGATGATATCATCAAATCAAGAGAGTCTTTGCTTCCATAAAGCTTCCTATTCTTTGATACTATACCCCAGTCCCCTCACTTAAATAAGGGAATGTTTGGAAGATTTTCCAAACCCAATTTTAATCAGAGACTATGATATATCAATTTATAGCTACTTTTATGCCTAAAATTTCCTCTAAACCATCTCATTCATTTGAATGCTTATTTGAAGGCCTTATTGGATAAAACCATATTGAAGCCCAGCCTGCATTATAACAAAAATTTATCTCAAAAGTTAACATAAAGTAGTAATATCTTTCAAATTTGGTTATGAATCCTAATGCTTTCAATAAATTTTCATGCTCAAGCTGATCATTTTACTAATTCCCAAAGCTAGGAACAAAACAGCCAGATCTTTAATAACAAGCTATTGAGGATACCACAGAGCTGTTTAGAGGCTATGAAGGAGTTAGATTGATTACTAGTAAATTTATCAAGCCAGCTATTAAAATTAAAGGTAAGCTTTCTTAGATTCAAATAATCTGATCTAGAGGACTGCTAAATCTGCAGAAGGTATCTTCCTCATTCATTTATTGACGAGAAGACTTCATACTAAGAATGAAACATGAAGTAAACAAGGTTATAAGATATTTTTAGAGCAAGTTTGCTTCATCAAGAGAGTCCTGCTGCGCTTGTTAGATAGAAAAAATAGTGAGAGGTTCTGAACCTCTATTGAGTATAATCATCATCTTATTAACCATAATATATGCAATCAGAGATGCTGTGATAGCTTCATTTAAATTTGAGCAAGTGTTCAAGGTCACAAAATAGAAAAGTGATAATTTTTTGAACCTCTTTTGAGAAGTCCCTGGTTTAGGCTTCTTTTAAGACTATGATCTACTTTGAATTATATAGTTTCAAAATTATTAATTTTCCGAGAAACTAAAAACGACCTGAGTGAACAATTTTTAGAGAGTTAAACAAGCCTCCAAAGCTGATAAGAAGATGTCTTTTGCTAGTTCAAACACTTTTAATTCCTATCAAGTCCCTCTGCTAAGTTATGACAACATCTCCATCATTCACCATTTTTCAGATTAGAATCCAAACGAAGTCTAGCTAAAATTCCAAAAAAAATGTTAAATTTCCCAAAAATCCCCCAAATGCCTTAAAAACTTTCCTAATAACCTTACATCCTCCCAAAGCCCCACTCTATCCTCTTCTCCCCCTCACACCCCTTAACCCCTATAACCCCGTCCCTTCTCCCATCCTTCGTTTAATAACAAAGAACTATAAACCCCCAAAAAATCCCAAGTAAACAGCACAAATTATTATTTAGAGAATCCGGAAAAATTGGAAGAAATGGGGTTTTGAGGCTGAAATAGGGATTTTTGAGGGAATAGAGCGGGGTTTAGGGGGGCTTTAGAGGGATTTTGAGGGGTTTGTAGGGAGGAAGGTTTGAGAGGGTGGGGTGAGGGAGTTAGGTGAAAGAGGGGTTAGAGGTGGGTAGGGGAATTAGGGGGGATTAGAGGGAGATGAGGGTTGATGAGGGGTTATTGAGGTGAGGGATTGTTTTTTGGTGTTGAGAGAAAGTTTGGGAGACTGGGTTCTTGGGAAATGTATTTTAGGTTTCAAAGATCTTTGATATTTGAGGCTTAGGAAGGTTATATTGAGAGTAGAAGGTTTTTTTTGGACGAAGTAAACTAAGAGAAAGTATTTAGTAAGCTGAATAAAAGAGAGATCTATTTGAAATATTAAATCGAGTCACTTTTATTCAAGCTCAAACAACGATGCATCAAATAATTTTTGAAGATACATATCTATCTTAAACTTTTCTTTTTGTTCATTGTCCTATTTCAAGTTTTCTCTAATGTTCATCTCATAATATTTTAGAGAATTTCAAGAAAAATTATGATAATTTCCGAATCATAAATCTATGAATTTCAGTTTCTCTTCAAAGCAAAAAAGACTAGGAAAAGAAGAACCCTCCTCATTTCCAAATCCAACAATTCCCAACTAAACCCTAACCAAAACAACCCTCTACCATTCCATATCCAAAGCCCCAGATCTCAAATAGCCATCTTACCATAAAAAACCTAGAATCAACTAAAATCCCTTTACTGGGGTTTTGGGGTTTTGGGGTTTTGGGG